CAAAGACTACCTCACCACACTACGCCCACAAGGAAACCATTACGGTGACTTCATTGTGTAACCAAACTAAAAAAAAAAATAAAAAATCTTTTTAAGCCAATGTCAGCGATATGTACCTATAATCGTGATTATCACTTTCGCGTTTAAAAGTACCTTTTCGAGTATTTTTATAGTTTATAATATTAATATGATGTAGGTGAGCATTGTGCGTCCAAGTCCACCCCTCTCCGCCACCTGTATTTTTTCTATTTTTCCACAGTCCTAGACCCACCGCCAGTTGTATGTATTACTGTAGGTACATTTCATAAAATGCCCATTTAACATTTTATTCGTAACCCATACACGAGAGATATTCATGTTTATACAGCAGTCAACCGCAGCGGTATAGGTACTCTTTTCAATCGTGACTCACGGACGAGTATACACGTCAAACGTATGCTCGTTTTTATTTATTTTTTTGTCGTGCATATATATATATATATAATAATAATAATTATTTTTTTTTTTTTTACTCGGTCCGCGCACCTAAATTTAATTAACGCGATGTTCATTTCACATAATAATAATTATATTTGACCCTAATGCGAGCCCGTTGTATAGGTACAAAATATTATGTTCACGTCCGACACGAAATTGTGTATTAGCTTAATGATACTTATTCGTCTGACACCGCAGCGACGACCCTTACGCCGAGTATGAAATATTGCCTGGTGGGGGCAGTTTTCGGTTTGCTCGCACGCGCCCACACATGTCATAATAATGATAATAATACTAATAATAATAGTAATAATATATGCTCACCGTGACGGTTACCACTCTCGGGCGAGCGAGTTGCCACGATGAGTATTGGATTACGTTCGTAAATTAAAAACAAACATTTTTGATAACGGTAAAAGTTTAATGTAATATAATAATGATAATAATAATAATAATAATAACCTTAGTATATGTAAATATTATTATGTTTAATTAAATGGCATGAAAACAATTTAAATTTTTTTTTCTGTATACTTCCGCGGCTCACGGAACCGCGACGTGGTATACCTACTACAGGTATTATAATAACGTTTGACATGGCTATAAATCTACAAAAGGACAAAATTCACATTATAACTATATTATTATAGTAACTAGTTATTATAATAATTAATAATAATGAAGATGAAATAAAAAATAAAAATACATATATACTTGTAAAAATAGGCAATATTATAAGTCGATATAATAATAACTAAAATACAGATTTTTACAATGGTTTAGTTTTAATATAACTGAATAAAAAAATAATAAAAATTATAACATTAAAAAGAAAAATAGTTTTTTTTTTAAGTCCTAACAGCTAAGTTAAAAAAAACACTTATTGCTAATCACATTTTGTTAAATTTGATTTTGAATAAGATTAATAACTATATATGTATAAAACAAAAATAATAATAACAAATAAAAAATACGTTTTGTTTTATCAGGAAAAAACGAGATTTTGATTGTTTTAATACAATAAAATTATGTATATACGCATAGTCAATGTATTATATTATAATTATTCTAAGAGTCGACGATAAACAAACCAAATGCAGTTAGGTATATTATGTACAATTAAATTAAGTAGTAATTCAGGTGAAATTTATTATTATTGTCGAAGCCGAGAATTTGATCATAGTGTTAATGTAAAACTGACGTGTAAATGTTTGTTATTTACTATGTGCTGCGAATAATTTATTTAGGTGGCTGAACAATGTCCATCTAATAACAGTGACGCAAGTTAGGTACTTACTCGACAAAGGTAATCGAACGACTTGAACTGCACTTGAAATTTCATAAAAAATTTTTTAGCTTAACGGGAGAATTTAAAAGTATTGCAAAACGAATTTGGACAGATTACCAATAAAATATAGACATACGTGTTAAAAAAAATAACTTTTTGGACATTTCGGTAACGGCAAATTGCAAAATCCAAATTTCAGTAAGTTTTTACAACGCAATGGAAAATAGGTAAGTACTACGGTACGCGAGTACAGTAACTGATACTTAGCCGAATGTCTGCTTAGAGGCAAAAATACAAAACTATAATTTTATTTCCAATAAACTTGTAAATATACTGTTTAAGATTTTAAATGCGGTTTTCATTTCGAAACATTTATCTTTGTTTGTTCGGAAAATTGATATAATAGTATTGGCAAATAATTCAGATAATCATTATAATATGTGCTTGCGTGTCAGTTTGTGGCGTGTACAATGTACATACATAATATTATTAATTTACTGCGTTCGATATAGTGCGAATCATCGCCGACCCGAACACATATTATTATCGTACAATCGTTATCCTATAGTATGATATTATAAGAGCTATATATTAAATGTAATACGCCTAAAACTATCATTATACGTCTATGTACCAGGGGTGTGCTCAGGGGAAAAGGGGAGTCGTGGAACATCACCTCCTCCATTAATCAGTAACTGATGGGTAAAATGATGTAAATTACTAATTTTTAGACAAACTGTTAAGACTATCCCTTTACAACCTAAGATGTGAAGCTTACACTGTGCCACCTCCCAATTCTATTCCTGAGCACGCCTCTGCTGTGTGCGGTAATATTATTGTGGTATATAGGTATCGTAGGTGAAATACGGAGGAGCAAAAACAATTTCACCGAAGAGATCCAAAATCGTCAGTGCGGGGTCTTATAATAGGGTTGCACCCCGGGTAACTCGGTTATAGTCAATAATCAAAAGGAATAACGGACTGAGAAGTCAGAGTTGATTGAAAACGACGGCGGTTCAATAAGCGTCGCTGAGAGAGGGGTATTTTTTTCCAAGACACGTCGACGATTTAGGGGTTGATATCGACGAACGACGTTTCGCGGGTTTTCAAGAAGTGTAGCTCGCGAGTGTGTTTGCGGTGTTATGATATTTAAATCGGTTTGCGATGGTAATCGCAGACTATTGTAGCAAATAATATTATTGTGCGGAAAAGGGAAAAAAAACTCTATAAGCAACGTATAGTAGGTACTATATAATATATAGCTCTACGCTGCGGGCAAGTCAGAACTAGAGGGGGGGAGGGGGTCCAAAACATGTATATTGTTATTTTATTGAATTATGGTTTTGATATTTGGTTAAAAATAAGACATATTAAATACATTTCGGGGGAGGGGGGCATCAATAAACAATTTTTACTTTTTTGGAGAAAAAAAATACCTATATTATTACATCCAAATGGAAATCAATGTTAAAATTTTAAATGTTTTCGGTCCAGATATCTACCAATGACGTTAATCTTGGGCCTAAGACATGTCAGAATTCGAACTTAAGTAGGTGTGGATAAAAACCGTTGGATTGAACGTTTTCAAGCGAATGGATTATGAATATACATGGAAACGATGGCGTGAGATTTTGATGACGAAAAATAAAAAAACCGTCGAAGTCACAAGAGTCAACAAGGACGTCAAGGGAATATTGAACACGCGAATGTGACTGATAATAATAATATGCAACCTCGCGAGATTCGAAATGGTTTTTCGAGAACACGACAGACGGTATATAAAAAGAACACAGTGTCGCGCGAAATGATAACATTTAGTTGACGTTAATCCGGCGACGAGATCATCTGATGATTTGTATATTATTATATATACAGAGCGGTTAAAGAGAGCATACACCGTTTTTTTAATCTAAAAACCGATTAGGTCTCGCTTACTGCGGAACGTGCGAGGCATAAGCCTGGTAAAATAGCTGAGGTTGGGCTCGTGGTTTTGGTAGAGGAACACCACGAAGTGCCAGTGAAATAATACATTTAAACGATTTTTGAAATGTGTTATACAGAAAACGAATATATACAGCATAAAGTATACTGTGTTGCGAGTGTTTTTTTTGTTTATATACGTAAACTAATGTTTGTCGACGTGAAAAATAATTTTCTAGTTAAACATTGTTGCGGACGATTTGTGATCGACAGCTCACCGATCGTCAGTATCGAAACACTGACGTTTTCTGAAAAGCCATCACGCGAGGAAAGTATACGACTTACGGCGAGGGTGTCGGTTGAAGGGCGGAACGAGGAAATCCGCCACATTAGTGCCGAACTCTAAAAACGTCACTGTCGAAATCGTGCGATAAACAATCGACAAAAAAAAAAAAACGACCATCGGTGTAGTAAGTTTTTGGTTTGTCGACACGTTCGAAGGAAACGAAATTCGGTGCGGAAAAGAACGCGTGCGCGGTAAGAAGGTGGGTTTTCCCGGTAGGTTTACCCACGACGAGACACCACGGACGCCGCTTGACCCGTACACAAATCCCAAAGACTTTGGACACGGACCCGTCCATGACTTTAGACTGTTATTATAATTATCATAGACGTCGTCGATAGTATAATAGTATAATATATTGCAGCCGACGACACAAGCGCGTCCGCATCGTATTTACATATAATCGCGGCTGTGACGTTTGAACACGTTTTACAATTATTATTATTATTATAATATTTAATATCATACTCACACTGGGTACTTATAAGTTATAATGCACTGTTTACGAGTGGGCACCGTCGTCGGACCGCCGTAGACCAGCCGAGCAATAAAAGAATGATGGAAAAAATGTACAAGTTCATTATGACGGTATAATAATATTATTATTATTACCACCTACGTGTAAGTAATAATACTACCTACTCTATCATACCATAATATTATAATACTACTACTGCTAAGTAAGAAAAGAAAGAAATAATATAATATAATAATATGTAAAACATAATAATTATTTGTATTATATAATATAATCGTTACGGCTATTTTAATGTATACGCACGCGTTGTACAGGTATATATTATGGAAATGCATTATTGTTGCATGGCACGATAACGAGGAAAATCAAAAAAACGTGCGATACTACACTGGTATAATAATATGATAAACGTGGTAAACATATTTTTTTTTCTGCTGTCGGTAATATTTGCAAAAAAATCGATGCGCAGTTGTTTCCGATTTCAAATACGTCCGTTAGACGTTGTGTCGTTTCATGTGCAGCGACAGGTGGTCGGACCGGGAGAACGCGCGGTCGCACAGCCGGCACTTGAACGGCCGGTCACCGGTATGCTTGCGGAAGTGCCGGGTCAGCTCGTCGGACCGAGCAAACTTCCAACCGCAACCATTCCAATAGCACTGGTACGGTTTTTCACCCGTGTGCGTGCGCAAGTGCGCCTTGAGGTGCGAGCTCTTGGTGTACGTCTTTCCGCATCCCGGGTGACCACACGAGTGGTTGGCCGACGTCTTTTTGGCGCGTTGCGGCCGCCGGTCACCGACGCCTCCCGTCCGCCTCGACGATCGTTGGTTGCCTCCTGTGGTCGCCTTTGTGGCCACCATCGCAACCATTTTGACATCGTCTTCGGGCGGCGACGACGGAGGCGTCATCATGGCCGCAGTGTAAGCCGCGGACGCGGCAGCCGCGCTCGCCGCTGCAGACACCGCCGTGGCCGTTTGTTTGAGTGGACGGCCGTCGACTATTTCCGGTTTCACTATCGTCGTCGTCGTCGTGACGGCCATCAGCTGGCGCGCCAAGAACGTCGATTCGGCGATCGCGTTTCCGCCGTCGCTGTCGTCCGGTGGGCTGGCCGGCGGAGATATCTGTTGCTGATGTTGTTGCTGTTGCTGCTGTTGGAGTAGCAGTTGTAGCTGTAGTTGTTGCTGCTGGAACTGAAGGAGGTGATGGTTGTGTTGCTGCTGGTGCTGATGCTGTTGCTGGACATCCATCAGTTGACCGCTTTCGGCGCAGGGTCCGGGTGAGTATATGTACATCACTCCGTTGTAATCGGCAGGATTGTAATCGGTCAACCTACGAACAACAACGTCACGGTATTATTGATAATATTTTAACTTTTGTAACAAAATGGCAAAGGCTCAGGTAATAGGTTTAATACGAGTATAATGAATAAATAAAGTAACACAATATCAGTGGCGTTATTATGGTACCTAACTATTTTAACATTTTCCAACAAAAAATGTACCTAATCAAAAATTCATACTATAAAACTAATTAAATAAAGTAAAAACGTTAGCTCGTGACACAGAAAACCAATTAGAAATCAAATGTGTGATGATTATATTGATTAGTAGGTATACTTCTAATCACAACTTTTATAATAGAGTTTAAAGTTTTGAACTAATATTTACTCGGGATTTTTTGTCTTGGAATAATTTTCTGGAGATACTATGTGAGTCGTAATTCGTGACCCCCATACATGCAGGGTCCATGGTCAAAACCATAGCGAGCGGACAGGACTATCGACAATATTATATTATACAATAAACAATAATAGAATATAGGTACCTTACAAGTGCGGAATAGTAATGATTGATTATAATATTACTTATTATTATAAAATTATAAACTATTATTATTATAAAATGGTTATCGGAGTGTAAACGAATTACAATAACTTTCTAATAACAATATAATATAATAATATCATGTTAAAGAACACATAATAATAATAATATGTCAAGACGCAAAACGATTGTACAATTGTTTGTATAGCGCACACGCGTGTCTACACGACAAGTCTGTTATTATTATAAGTTCCACGACTTATCAAAAAGCGTACCGATAGGTATACAAAGTCGATATCATCGCATTTTCCGATTTGCATGCAGATGGCGTACCTATATACTTATAATATTGTGTTCTCTAATTATTATAACTATCGATTATTATGCACCTTTATGCGTCTCGACACGTAAGTACATTGTACAGTGCAACGCCGCTGCGGTTATATTATGCAAGCTTCATTTGCTTATACATATACGAACACGATAATATTATTTAATGTGAACGACGATAGTGGCAGTTATCTAATTATTGTAATGTAGGTAGGTGCTATATTATACGGCGTGTTCGAGTATAGGTTTTCACTTAGTCATATTCGGTGGCTGCGCCTCTGAGCGTAATGAAATAAGATATCACACGCCGAGACCGACGTCATACATAATATATTGTTCAATAAATTACATAGGTACGCTTGCGAGTAACAGCTTTCGTTTTTCGCTCTCAGTCGCGTGAAAACGGCCATCGAAATCCGATTTTGCAGCCACTATATTGTATTTCGAGCTGCAAACAGGGACACGGAGGAGTCTAGGAATGACAGAAAAAAAGGGGGACCATAAAATGTGTGCGCTTGTTTTACAACTATTGAACTACCTACATTCAATAAATAAATAAATGGTTTTTAAAACTGATAAAATGTGTAAACATCGCGTTTATTGGATTAGACAAATGTGCATTACACTTTTTATAGATTAATTATTGACCAATTATATCGAGGAAGGAATCTTAGAAATAGACAATAGTACACAGAGAGAGGGACTGCAGTCAATGGCTCATCCCTGGCAACTAATAGGTTTGGTTTCAGTAGAATCGCTACTTTCTGCATTTGTTATTAGAAGAGAAAATGTTAATATTTTCAAAAATTGTATTTTGTACCTATGTTAGTCATAACTCATAATATATTGAAACAATATATGTTAGATATCGAGCTCCTTTATTTCTCGTATCAAGTGCATCTGCAATCAGTGTGCTTGCTCAAATCTAGACCTACAGTACAGTACCTAGGTATTGTAGGCCGTGTGATAAAATAACGAAAGCCATAATATTACACATCAATCACAGCTGAAAGTACCTACCTAACTATAATGATTTAAACAGGCATATTGCATTTCCTTGTTATTAAATGCATTTTTTTTAGTCCTGTTTAATAATAATACTATATATAATCATAAAAAAACAAATTTCAATTGAGCGTACGGCAATTATTCAGTGGTGAATCCAGGGCTTCATTTTGGGAGGGGAATGGGGAGGCAAAAGTATAAAAAGTTCCAAAATTGACTAAACACAGTGTAAAACAAAGGAAAACTAAGGTGATTGGGGGAGGGGTGCCCCCTTTGCCCTCCCCCTAGATCCACCACTGCAATTATTATTGATATAGGTATTATATAAGTTATAAGGATAACACTATAATAACAATACTGTTATTATTTGCCGTGACCACCTGTTTATGATTACGAGTCAATATAGGCAGAGAATTTAATATTCTGACGGCAAACTATAAGAAGTGATAAAATATTTATGATCTAAATACCTCAATTATTGTTATTATAGGTACCTACGTTAATATTGTACCTATTATAGTGTCACTATAAACAGCATAAAGTGGTTAACGTTACAAATAAATTCAACAAACTATGTAATAATATAATATATTACAACATTACCTATATAGGATATAAGCCTATAACAATTATACGGTATACCTACCATCACTTACAAACATAATATACTCGTCGGTAAGAAATTATAAATTTTTTTATAAATAGCCCACGATGCTAAAATAACATCCATGTGCTATTTGTTATTACTTATTCTTTTATTGGGTCTGGTACCTATAAGGTGTATATAATAAAAATTCCTAAATGCTAAATGTTGAGCCACTGAGAAAGTGTGACGATTAAGATTCAGTTTTCTGTAACTTGCACAATTTTTTTAAATTTAAACCATTTTTATAATTCACAAATGCGTTAAAAATGAAGAATCAAAATGGTTAGGTCTTTATTTTCTTCATAAATTAGTTTTGCGGACTTTTATAAAAATATGTTCTTTTTATTCCAACAATGACCATTGATACCATAATAACAAGCGTAACCAGGCACCGAACGCAATCAAATACATATAATCTTTCTACTTAACATATAATATACGATAATTATATAGAAACCGGTTACAATAATATATTATTATATATTCTTAAAAACTGAAATCTTTCAGTGAATTTAGATCGCAATGTGTACATAATGTTTATTAATATAATCGAAAGCGCTTCCGCAACAACCTTAGTTTTTTTTTTTCAAAATTAAAACAGTACTGTCCATAGAATATCTGCAATTCTCAATAACTAATAAGCACAGAGAGTTTAGGAATTTCATAGCTCAAAAATAAACCAATGAATAATTTTTAAGTGCTTAATATTTTTAGACTTTAAATACCTATAGGTATACCATATTATTATATTATGATGTATGATATCATAACATTATTAAACTGGAATAATTAATGTTGATTATAATATATTGCGTTAAAATAATAATAATAATAATAATACTTAACACATTTTATTTTTTTAACGCTACTCAAGCAGCAATTTATCCCCTCATATTAATATCCTGTCGTTATGTTATTTGGAAGTGACTAAAATACTATTGCCGCAAACAGGTTTTTGGTCATTTAGGGCAACACGGATTTGTAATTAGTTTGGTACCTACCTATCATATGTATGATATGTATTTTGGAATCTCGCCGAAGGTTAGAACGGAATAGTAGCAAATTAATATTACAACTGATGATGTTTTAATATCACATTTAATGACGTTCGACCGTCTCTCTCTCTCTCTCTCTCTTAGTTTATACGGACACATTATAACACTATATATTATTTCAAATTAATTAATATTCGGCGTTATTATATATTTTCTTATTCACATTAAAATTTTAAATACATTAAAAAAAGTACCACGCGACATATTATATGAGAATATGAAGTATGCATTTACCATTTTTGGTCATGTGAAATCATAAATCATGTACAATATAATGTTTTCATTTTTTTATCGTAATAATATATGGATCTATAAGCGACATAGGTCGTATTCAAATGATCGTAAATAATAAATACTTAGAATGCAAAATTGTTAATAGATACATATTTAAATATACATAATATACGGGGTGATTTATTTAACGTAAGACACTCATTATTTCAGAAAACCTTAACATTATTCAAAAGATTTCTTTAAGATACTTTGTTAAGTAGTTACAAAATAACGATTTTTGATTTTTACCACTTTCTAAGTTGTTCACTCTTTTGAATGACAACTTACATTTTAGTTTCATATTCCAAAGTAGAATTTCTTTCGGAGTATTAAAATCAAATTTCAGACAAGCAGTATATAAGTTATAATTTTATAAGTATTTAAAGTTTAGATAAGCGGTATAGTGGACCAACATTTTGCAGGGTACCATGTGTACCACTCATCTAACCTTTAAATACTTACAACTGCTAGTCCAAAATTCTATTATTAAATATCGAAGTATTCCAAAAAAATAATGAAAATTAAAAAACACATTATTTTTAGACAAATTGGATTTTTAATGTTATACAATTATGTAAAATAATTATTTTTAATAACGTTATTAATTTTTGAATGTGTCTTACGTTAAATGGATCACCCGGTAGGTATATATAAGATAAAAAAAATTAATCGATTATAGACAATATAATATTATTCTTTCTATACTCATAATATACTTACGAGTTATTATTTAACCTTGAATTATAATTAAAATGTTTCATTTAATAATTGAAAAATGTTTTTTTCAGTTAAAACGTTTGAAAATGAAAAAAACAAATTCAAAAGCATTTCAGATGAGTTTTGAATGAAACGGTGTATAACCTTCAAAGTTTAAAAAATAACGAACAGCATAAATAATTCATGTAGGTACCTCTACCTATACACCTACAAAATATATTGTACAGCCACTTTGTACCCATTTCAATGTTCGAACATACACAAACATATTGTTATAATATAAAACTATAAGTACAGGTACTACCTAAAAAACAACGAGACAGGGTCGAATTATTGTTTGAAAGTAAAAACTCGAATGTGCATTTCGTTGGTCAGACATGACAATTTTTTTCCCACCGTTAGAAAGCGACTTTGAATTCGATTGACGAGGTTCGCACGAACGT